GTCATGGTTTCGGTCGACATTTCTCGGGACGCGCCAAAGTCCGTCAGCTTCGTTCCCTAGCCCCAGTGTGAGCCTTCAAAAGAATCCAATTTGGTACCTTGGTCGAGTCGAGGAGGATGTTGCGGGACTTCAGGTCGCGGTGCATGATGTTCATCGAGTGCAAGTAGACAAGCCCCTCGGCAATCGAGAGCATGCATTCGATCTTCTCGTCCCACGAAAAGCTAGTGGACACTTCGTGCGGCGTGGAAGGTGCTGTCGTGTACAGGACGGAGCGGAGGTCGCCTCGGTCCATCCACTCGAGGACCATCTGCAAGTCGGAGGGAGTCCGCCAGCTCGCACCGAGCAGCTGGACAATGTACGGACTCTGCATGCTACAGGATTCCTTGCAGCATTCACTCGAGTGGAACCTGCTACTGTACGTTGAGGCCAACAAGATCTCTTGGGCGAGGTTGGCCAGTGCGACGCGCGATGCTTTGCCTGGCAGCAGTCCCTTGATGGCCACCGTGTCGCCTACACGTCGTCCGTGGAACGCTAAGAACTATCACTACTGCTGTACCTTGGTAAGTGCCGCGCCACACTTGCCCATACGCGCCTTCGGCCACATAGTCGATCGCCTGGAGCAACGCCGTATCCAGGCGCAGCATCGAGAGATCCTAGTGCAACAAATGAGTTGTTTGCACCGTCGCAACCAAAGACAAGAGGATGTCTACTGCAGGAATGACGGCGTTGTCCCCGGGGTCGGAAGCGTCGTCGGTGGCACTGACATCCTTGTACTCCTCGTGCTTGGACCTAGCTGGCCGTTAAACGCGAAGTTGTCTCGCATACAAGTGCTGTACGACTTTGCTCTGTTGCGACGTCGCTTGAAGAAGGCAAAGCCAATCGCACTGAGAAGCGATACGGTCGCAATGACGATGCCGCCAATGGCTGCGCCGCCGACACCCGCCATCCTGCTTGGCGGTAGCATCGACTCTATGAGCACGCGTCAGCACATGGAGCAGATAGCGCGAGTACGACGTACGGGGCGTCACGCAGATCGTCGACATGGATTCCGTCGTCGCGAAAGGATAGGTTGTATTCACCTCCCGCCGGGTGTTGGGCAGACTGCACGTCATATTGATGGCATGTGCCAGATGCGATCGCAGTGGCGTCTGGGCTTGAAGCACGTGGTACGTTGCCGGGTCGACCGTAAACGTGGTGAGCTTGTCGCCGTCGAGTACCCTACAGATGCCCTCTGTACGCGGTCCTTGGAGACAGTAGAGGTTGTAGCGACTGACAGTGAACGGACGTCGGTCCCGAGCGAGATGTTGTACACCGTGGTGACGGGGTTGCGAACAAAATCCCTAATGACCATCTCGTCATTCTTCTATTTGGAGGAGAGGGCTCGGACGTACATGTAAAGCACGCTTCGCAGGTCGAGGTCTTGCAACGTCTCAATCTCGTTCGCAGCCAACGTCCTAATAGCGATGCATAGGCGCAACTAAATACATGGAAAGGCGACGCGTACAATGTGGTCAGCTTGGGCGCCGCCGTGAGGTTGGGCACCGAGCGCAACCCGGCATTGCTGATGACTCTAACATTGCGAGGTTAGCGTTCATGTCGATGGACCATAGCGGACAGCGTTTGCAGCGAACGGGGCCAGACCACGCTCGAGACGTCCAAGGTAGCATTGTTGTACTCGATCAAACTACGCCGAGCAATATAAGATCCCGTCGCATCGGTGACGAGTTGTACAAGCCCGTCACGTTGGACGCGGATGAAAAGTCCCCGAGCGACTTGACTGCTGCATTCTTGAACGCGCTGTAGACAAAGTGAGACTCGAAGAGGTTTTCTACGCGTCCTACATGGCGAGATTCGGCACCTTTGCTGGTAGATCGGCCACGTGCTCGACGGAAACATCTATAGATCGACACTGCGATCGTAGCTGCGTATGGTAGAATGGCAACGTACTGACTATCTCGAGCGTCATCCCAAGATTGTCCACGACCGAGTCGAGTCGAAACGCGTTCGTGTCGTACTCCTTGACGATCTACACCTCAAGTGGGCGTCGACTGCCGTCGTACGACTTACTACCTTGCAGTTCTTGTCGACAACGCAATAGGATAATCCATACAACGGAGCGCAATCGGTCGTCGCTGTCGTCGCGTACTGACTGAAGCGACACGGCGGGCTCAGCGCCCACGACGTCGCTGCCAGGTGCATCTATGGCATCGACGTGCTTATTGCTATGTCCAGTAGAGTCGTTCTTGTCTGTACACGTACTATTATCGGCAGGCCGAAAGCAGTGAGCATCGGTCGAGACCAGGGTCGAGACGTCCGCCACGAGCTACGGTGTAGTGAAATTGCGAACTGACATCTCGGAAAATGCAGCAAGAGTCATGTCGCACACCATTTTTATCAAGATGGTCTCAATGGACCGGCGCAGTCGCAAGGAGCGTTGTTGGGGCTTGAATTCCCATCACGTTATCGTAAGGGGTTTATACCGTTGGTGTACTTGTAACACACGACTAACAGTGAAGCACTCGCCAGAGTGAAGAGGAAGAAGAGGAAGTACCTGAACCGCACCCCCCGCATTTCCCCCCAGAGAAGTGCGGCCCAGGGGGCTGGATCCAACGGCAATAAAGAGTCGTGCTCTTCGAGTTCGCGATCGTCGAGTTGCGATCTTGCCAGATTGGACAAAGCATGTCCTGCTAGACGGAAGACCGCGCGTAGCCCGGGGTCCTCGAGATGTAACGCGAGACTCGATAGCCCGGTGGTCTTTTATTGCATCGAGCCCAGCGCACCATCCTCCACTTCCTCCTCTGTGTCGTGCGGTGCGTGTGCTCTGCGTGACCCAAGCCAACGGTCCAGGGGCAGGACAGGGTTAGCGTTCGTGCAAATGACTTTGATCGAGCGGACACCGTGGCCACAGCCTCCAGAATCGCATCGCGTCGACCACCAGAAGACTCGAGCTCTGACGCAGTGAACATCATAGAGGCGTGAGCCATGCCATCTCCACCGTGATTGTATTCGTGCGTGATCTTGGTGCTCCAGAGACGAGCCACTCCACGGCATCGAGATTGCTTCGCGGCCAAGGTACCAGCGCTTGCGCCCAGAAAGACCGGCATCACGATGGACACCAGACTGGTAGCTGCGGTCGTGATCACATCGAGGCGAAGCAGAGGCTTTGTTTGCCTCCGAGGAGCTCGTAGAGCGCGGTCAGCGAGATGCTACGACCGAGGCCAGGAGCGCCGCAAGGAAGACCTCGGTGTCCTTCGCTGCAGCTGTGTACTGGACGATGACCACGAGCACGTGGTTGAGATTGTGGTTGCTCCTCCCGATGAAATTGATTCAGCGGAAAGTCGCTCCTTGGCGCGTTGCCTGCCCATGGTAGGCTGCACGGTGTTCCTCTACCGGTAGCTGTGTCTGGTAGCATCCGAGTCAGATGCAACCAAGGCCAATCAACACGGAAAACGAGCCAAAAACAAACATGTATACCACGCAACTAGGAGAGGTGGAAGCTCAGCTGGCCTTCGCGGATGCAGTACAGAAGTTTGGAGCGCAAAATGTCGATCGAGCTGTAGTCGGGTAGCTTGAGGTAGTTGGTGCACGTCGAGGCCGACGGCAGCATCTCGTCGCTCGAAGACGACTCGTCCGGGCTCAGCTTGCGCACGACCGTCAGCGTCGGCGAGAGCTTTCCAAGCCCACCGAGCGGCAGGCGATGCGACCCCGTGACGAAGCGCACAAAGAGCCGCTGGTCGTCCGGCGTCAGCTCCGTGAGCACTTGGACGAGCCAGCGGATGGCTCGGCTCTCGCTAGTGTAGCCGTGGTCGCACACCATGTGCGCTTGGAGCTCGTCGGCGCCGCCGGGCCAGAGCTCCGTCGTCGGGTCCGAGAGGAGCGCGAGCCAATCGTCGGCCGACAAGCAGTAGAGCGCGTCCATTGGCACGAGACTGCCAAAGCCCGCGCGGAAGGCCGCGACTTGGTCGTGGATCGACGATTCCAGAAGCATCTCGAGGCTTCGGCGCACAAACTCGGCCACATTGCCCCGGGTCACCGCCACGGCGGCGCCGCCTTCGCATAGCTCCACGTCGGCGTTACCGAGTAGCACAAAGCTCAGGCCCATCTCGTCGATCGCTGGGTCGTCGCGGTGGGTGTGCAGATAGTCCAGCGACGCGCCAATCGCAGGGTCCACCGCCCGGGCATGGCCCAGCGCCGCGTCGATATCGCCCACGAGCGACTCACCAAGTAGCGCTTGCACAAAAGGTCGTGCCAGCGGCAGGTCGAGCAGCCGTTCGTCCAAGAGGGCCTACATAAAACATCAGGATCGGCACAGAATCGCACATCGCATCGTGGTACCTGCGCCACGAGCTTGCCCAAAAACGTAAACCAGCCAAGGACGGTCGCCTTGTGCTCGTCACTGGACGGCAGCGGCGCCGGGTACAGACCTTGCGGCGCATGTACCATGGACACATCTGCGTTGAACGACGCGTCAATGCCGAGGCCGTCGACTTGCGTGTCGAGCACTTCGGGCGTCGTCGGACCAAGGGCGACGAGGACATCGACCGCCGACTTGTCCAGTTGTACGTTGATCTACCACCAATGTCTCACTACAGAAAGGGTCATGGATCGTCCAGTCGAACCTGCTTGAGCGGCGTGCCTTCGCAGAGCGCCGACACGTGCTTGGTGACGGCGCGGTAGTCGCGCTCGTACATCCGGCGGCCCGACCGCGACACCATGCGGTCGCCGTTGAGGACGACGATGCCAGAGTCGGTGCCCGGGAAGCTCACCGTGTGGCAGTGGCTGCACTTGAGCACGGGGTGGCGGACGCTCGCCTTCTGCCGCGGGTACGCACGCGCCAAGTACGCCACTTCGTCGTTGCTCAAAATCCAGAACGAAAGCGTCATCTCGTTGGCCTCGCAACTCGAGGTGGCACACGCCATCGACGGCGGCGCGTCACAGCTCGCACAGACCCCATCGTTGCCGGTACAAAGACTCTTGCAGTTGGTGCAGTGCGGAAAGCTCACGACGGCGCAGGAAGGGCAGTGCAAGACCGCGATGCGGTGGTAGCCGCGCACGGGCAT